ATACCTACTGTGAAGCATGGAGGTGGAAGCATCATGCTGTGGGGCTGTTTTTGTGCAAAGGGGACAGGACGACTGATCCGTGTAAAGGGAAGAATGAACGGGGCCATGTATCGTGAGATTTTAAGCCTAAACCTCCTTCCATCAATGAGAGCATCGAAGATGGAAGCTGGGTCTTCCAGCATGACAATGATCCCAAACACACCGCTCGGGCAACGAAGGAGTGGCTCCATAAAATGCATTTCAAGGTGCTGGAGTGGCCTAACCAGTCTACAGACCTCAACCCCATAGAAAATCTGTGGAGGAAGTTGAAGGTCTGTGTTGCCCAGCGACAGCCCCAAAACATCACTGCTCTAGAGGAGATCTGCACAGAGGAATGGACCAAATAGCAGCTACAGTCTGTGCAAACCTGGTGAAGACTTACAGCAAATGTTTGACCTCTGTCATTGCCAACAAAGGTTATGTTACAAAGTATTGAGTTGAACTTTTGTTAATGACCAAATACTTATTTTCCACCATAATGTACAAATAAATTCTTTAAAAACCATACAATGTGATTTCCTGGATTTTTCCCCATCATTTTGTCTCATAGTTGAAGTGAACCTATGATGAAAATTACAGTCCTCTCTCATCTTTCTAAGTAGGAGAACTTGCACAATCTTGCCCCACTGTACTTCATAAGCAGGACATGTTTATGTGCTGATTTGTGAATTTTTTGTTTGTTTGTTTTGCTATTTGTTTCTTTGCTCAGTTTATTTAGTTGTGTTTTGGTGATTCCTTGTGTTGAGTCTGTTTTGTTTCCCACAGGTTTTCCTTGTTGGCATACTTAATTAACAAGACTGGTTAAAAAAAAGCATATTTTACTGTAGATTTGCTAAAAAAATGTATTTTGAACAGCAGAAATTCACAAAAGGAAACTCATTTCTATTGCAGCAGCATCCCAAGGACTTTAGGAATGAAAGGATGTGCTGTTTTGTTGAGAAGAGTATTTTGGTTCTACCTTTTGTTTTTCACAAACTTTGTGTAGCCTGGGACGGGTCTGAACCCAGCTGTGCAGAGCAGCACCGCTGAGGCCCTTTGAGCAACAAACAAAATGGAGGCAGCTGTCGACTCACGTGTTTCTCCTCATACTCTGACTTCTTCATTCAATCCTAAATCCTTCATTTTCCTTCATTCAGTTTTAGTTCAGCTAAGATTCTGGTTTTGTTTTCTGGTGGCTCCATTCGATCTTGAAAGTAAGAATTTCTACTGGACTCCACTGAAGTTGGATTTACACACAAAGTCTGAAGAACTTATACAAATTCTAAACAGCTGCAGGTACAATGATGGCTGCAGTAACTGTGTGTTTATTAACACACCTGTCAGTTCATTTCTGTACTGTCTGTTACACACAAAGACAAACACCATGCTGCACTGTTTGCATGGGAGAACAATGATGTCATATATCTTCATTAACTTGTTTTTCTAATTGTATCGGAGAACTTTTCCTCGCTGCATTTAGAACACAGTCCAATGTGGCATCAGTCACAGCTGCAGCAGCCAGAGAAGTGATGATTACCAGAAATAAAAGGATGACTGCCCTTGTCTGGAAAAGTTGTTTTGCACTTCACAACTCAGTTTTTTTTTCCCCAACCCAAATATTAAACCCTCAAGTGGCATCACATTTGGAGTAATAGACTCCAAACACTTTCTTTTTCTGAGCCACAAAAGCATTTCTTATCAATGTTTCACAAATCAGGCAACTGCAGTAAGTAATGCTCATGGAGTTCCACAAGGACTGACTCTTGGTCCTCTTCTGTTTAATTTGTACATGTTCCCACTTGGTTCTGCCATTAGACAACAAAATATATTTTATCATTCCTCAGATGATACTCATTTGTGCACATGTATTTTTTAGGAATCTTATCCAAATCTTTGTTTCCTGACAGCCAGAGTTGAGTATTAGCTGTCAAAAAATTCTCTAAATCTGGACAAATTGGTCGGTCCTGAGTCTTTGAAGAGACAGATATGTTTCTCGTTGACTCCTCTGAGTGTTAAAACCAAGACTGGCTGTAGATTTTGATTAAAAGTTTCACAAACACATAAGTAAAATAATCCAAGATGAATTTTACCACTTTAGCAACATACATAAAATTAGATTTTTTTCAAACTAAACATACAAAAAATGATTTTAGTTGCAGGATTACCAAAACAATCTTCAGCTTATTTAAAGTGCTGCAACTTCACTTGAACCAGTGAATGCATCACATGTAGCTGGAACATATGGCTTCCAGTCACACAGCAACAACAACAAAGCACACGTGGCTGTTAGATTTTAAATACTTCTTGTTTTAAAAGTTTTAAAGTAAATGGCTTCATGGGCCTCTGTAGCTCTGTGGTCAGTGTCATGACCTTGTAATCCTGAAGCTGCTGGTTTGAGCAAATAAAACAATTTCCAAATCTTTTGTGTAAGTTTGCTCACTGTGGTGATCCCTGCAGAAAGGAGCAGACAACAACAACATGGCTCCCTTCTTTGTTGCGATGCACAATGAAAACACTCCAGATAGATCCTGAACTTGATCCAGTCAAATCTTTCTGAATTCAAAATCAGTGCATTGTGCTTTAAATCATTTTAGTCCTGCTCTTGTTCAATAACTCAACAATGTGTTGTCCTAAAGGCCAAATTTAAATGTTTCTTTTCTCCAAACCTTTTTATTTTGCCTCACAAGTTTGTTTATTGCACTATATTGTTTTATTATTGTTGCTTTTGAAATTTTGTATTTCTTATGTGATCTTCCTTGGATTTTGATTATTTTTATGGTATTTAAGAAAAATGGGACTTATCAGCAGAACAACCATCCAGCACCTTCTGTACATCTGAACATGTGATCTGCCTCCCTCAAAGCTTATAATAAAATATACAGTTAGAGGATAAAAAACAAAGGACAGCAAAGCTTTATAAATGAATAAAACCTGTTGGTTGACACTTATTAGAAACATTAGGCCAGCCAGCCTCAAATGGCTCAACTGGGTAATAAACAGCATCTAAGAAACATAAATATTACAATAAATATTGCTTTTGATTTTAGTTGATTTTATCATTGATTTTAGTTGCACTTTAGAACTTTGAGATTTATGTTAATGTGTCACAAATTAAATTCATTATTATTATTATTAATGTTCAGGATTTGGGTGCCACTCTGCGACCCCGCTGTATTAATCTGATGTAAAGGCTATCACTTGTTGGAGGTCAGAGGAGGTCAAAGTGTGCATGTTGTCTGTTGTCAGTGAAAGGCCGTGGTACCCGTCTGCCTCGCTCTGTGAGCCCAGGTGCCCTGGCTAAACACATGACCTACTTCTTAGGTGAAAACCTTTTAATGTAATTGCAGATCGTCTAAATACCAAGTTTTAAAACCGTTAGACGCAGGAAGGGAGACACATGCTAAGTTATTTGACAATGTTTTAGTGTTTTATATAACTGTTGAACTGATTCATGAGACACGACCAGAACACATCCTATCTGATTATCAAAAAAGAATTAACAAAACCACGCAGATAGGTTTAATTAGTGGGTACATTTTATTAGTTTGTGAATGAGTCTAATATATTTGGTTTTATTTACTTAAACTATACACAGTTTTGATAATTTGTTGTTTTATAGCTTTCTGTTTTACATATATGCATTATGTGTTCTTTGAGCTTTTCACCTGGTTCATAGAAAAAGGGAAAAAAACACAAGTGAAGCAATAAATAATATCAATTTAGAAGATAGACTTACACCTGAAACTCTGACATTTACAGCGTCGTTTCCGGGGTTAAATTCTTCAGGTTTCAGGAGAAAGAAAAGCCAAACTCTCCGCGCAAGATCCATGTCTTCATGTCAAGGTTGACTTCACCTCATCACCGTGAGGGCAGAACTCCAATGAACAGGTGAATCCAAACTTTGGATCACTTCTCTGAGCGGACACCTGCAGAGCGATCACCCACAGCTGGACATCTTTAAAGTTGCTTGTTTCCTTCTGAGGCTCTCCTGAATTCATCCCATGAAAAAACAGATAAGTTTAGGAGCGCGCAGAGATGCTGCGCTGTTTTCAGCAGCAGTGCGCAGCGGCCGCACGCAGAGGCGCACCTCGGTTTGCCCTTGAGCAGGAGAGCATGAGGGAGGGAGGATGCAGCTGGGCCGAACAGGATTACAGCTCCTCTGGCTCCTCATGCCACATTCAAACATGGCAGATTGGACCATGAACCACTGGAAGCCATCAGAAACATCCAGTGTTGTAGTGAAGTTCTGGAGCTGAACAGCCAGAGGATCTGTTCACATTCAGGCCACTATAGGCTGCTTTCATTTAATCTCATCTAATCCAATCGTTTTTGATACTTTTCATGTAAACACGCAAACAGGCCTGCCATTTTGACTGTAGCTGCCTCGTTGTTTGCGTTTTAAAAAGTCACTATGACTGTTTTGTTTTTTAACACAAAGCTGTTAAACCATTTATTTTGCCATCTGCAGCTTGGATGATTTCACTGCCGTCATCTCCCTAAAAGAATCAAATCTTGTGGAGATTAAATGAGTCTATGAAATTTTAATTTAATTCAGGATTAGCTATAACTGTGTTTTAGAGAGCGCTGACATTAAATGTGCGTGTGAGTGCGTGTGTAAAGCTTTGGGATTATTTTTTACGCACATCCAGGGGACAGGGCGTCCTCTAGTGGACATCAACTAACATGAACATTAAAGTTCAAAAACACTGAGGCCATGCCTAAAAGTCTGAAACTATTCTCACGTGAGGTTATCTGATGGTGAGGAGGTCTCATAAGTTTTCTAGGAGCACTGTGAGTTTAAATGAACACCATTTCAACTTGTATGTCATGTTTAATTAGCAGAGTGAAGAGTTTTGTAAACTTTATTGCCCATCCTTTGCTGACACTTTTGCTACAAGGTGAAAAATGTTGGATGCCGATGAGTGAACTACATTACCCAGAAAGCTCAGGTGCACGTGTTCTCTTCTTGTCCGGATGTAGCATCACATGAAGTGACTGTCAACATGCAAGATGGCTACGCATCACAGGCAGAATGCAGCTGGGCGGAGGAAAGTTCAGGTAAATTATGCGAGCTGCGCGGCTGCTGTGTGTGTGGCGATGGAGACATTTGGCTCTTCGTCTGACAGAAGTGTGTCGTGAACAGTAGAATGGCCACAAAAGGCACGTGAGCTTGTAGCTTAGCGGCTGTGACTCATGGCTCAAGCCGGCTAACAGAGCTAGCTTAGCTTACGCTGGGGGTTAGCTTCTTCTGCTAACGAGAGCGCCAAAATGACAGCTTGCTTTTGTTAGCAGTCGTCGCTTTGCTACGAGCTGCATAAAGTATAAAATAATGTTTTCCGCTTGTTGGCATTAGTAACTAATGTGCTGCCTGTCCGCGAGTTTGTTGATAGTACGGTGTTGACGGTAGCTAAGCTACAATGTAACCAGGCTCCGTCTAATTGCTGGTGTGTCTTTTCGTGTACCCTGATTGCTACGATACAAACACGATCGAAACCTAAATGTCGGGATTTTTTTTTAACCTCAGCTGAGTCAGCTCGTTTCCCCTCTGGATCGTTACAGCTGAGCTGTGTGTTGTTTGTTAGTGCATACGTTTAGTTGCAGCTTCCAAAGGGATGTAGGTTAACCCACCGGCTGACCAGTAGGAGTCTGACCTCTCACCTTTTCGTACCACAGGTCTCCTACGTCATTAGAGACGAGGTGGAGAAGTATAATAGGAATGGGGTGAACGCCCTCCAGCTCGACCCTGCGTTGAACCGGCTCTTCACCGCAGGGAGAGACTCGATCATCCGGATATGGAGTGTTTATCAGCACAAAGTAAAGTTTCACCCTCCTATGCTTTATTGTTGTGATGGTAGGAAGCTGTTTGCATGCATCATCGTTTATTGGTAGTAAGACTGCCCTACTCTTCCTCTGTCATGCAGCAGGATCCATACATTGCATCAATGGAGCATCATACAGATTGGGTTAATGATATTGTTCTCTGTTGCAATGGGAAAACATGTAAGTTTTAACTATTCGCCACAAACTGGTTTCATATTCAGGAATTGTACAGTTTAGCCGTCAGTGCTTCATTTCTTCTCTTCTGGTTGATGTTCTCGTCTTACAGTGATATCGGCCTCATCAGATACGACAGTCAAAGTATGGAACGCTCACAAAGGATTTTGCATGTCGACGTTACGGACACACAAAGACTATGTAAAAGCTTTGGCGTATGCCAAGGACAAGGAGCTTGTGGCCTCTGCTGGTCTGGACCGGCAGATCTTTCTTTGGGATGTGAACACCCTAACAGCACTCACAGCGTCCAACAACACCGTCACCAGTGAGTAAAGAGTTTGATCTATTACTGCCCATTACGGCCGTCTAGACGCTCACATTTTGATTTTGCTGACTGCAGCAGATTTTTATTTATTTATTTATTTAAGCTTCTTGCCCACTTTTGGACTTTAAACAATTTGTCTCCCAACAGCTTCATCACTGAGTGGGAACAAGGACTCGATCTATAGTCTGGCCATGAACCAGATGGGTACAGTTATTGTTTCTGGATCCACTGAAAAGGTTTGCTTCTCCTGGAACCAGCTTGAGAATACACTTAAACAATAGTCTTTTGAATGGTGTAAACCCTTTCTCTTAGTGGCATTGAGAAATTTATCAAATGTTTTTAATCACTAAATGGATTTACAAAATCTGTCATTAATCTTTGTTTCTTTTTTTTTTAGGTTTTGAGAGTGTGGGATCCACGAACATGTGCAAAACTAATGAAGCTAAAGGGTCACACGGACAACGTGAAGTCATTGCTGCTGAATCGAGACGGCACGCAGGTAACTTTCTGAAACGGGTCAGAAACGTGACGCCTGTTTAACAGAAACAGATTTAAAGTTTGGGTTTGCCGTCTCCTCCTACAGTGTCTGTCGGGCAGCTCTGATGGGACCATTCGCCTGTGGTCACTCGGCCAGCAAAGGTGTATTGCCACGTACCGGGTGCACGACGAAGGGGTGTGGGCCCTGCAGGTCAACGAGGCCTTTACTCATGTGTATTCTGGAGGCAGAGACAAAAAGATTTACTGTACTGACCTGCGTAACCCAGACATCCGAGTGCTCATCTGTGAGGAGAAGGCCCCGGTGCTCAAGGTAAGACGGCAGGAATCTTTTTCACTTGAAAACTTCACGTATTACTAATTTTATGCTTTGCTTGTCTGTTTTATTATACCAAAAGCACAGGGAATTAAAAATATTTTTAATATTTGCATGCTTTCTTTGTCATTCTTGTACCTTTTGCTAGCTGAACCTTTGTGTTTTTCTCTTTCGCTCAGATGGAACTGGACAGATCTGCTGACCCACCTCCAGCACTCTGGGTTTCTACCACCAAGTCGTCTGTTAATAAATGGGTAAGGGTGCGTGACAGCTCTGAAAAAAACTGTTCAACTGCCAGCGTAAAAGTCTGGATGGAAGTTGGGCCATGCCTGGGGATTAATACTTCTGCAGGTTGGGTGGTCTGGGCAAGTGAATTAGATTTATCACAACTATAGTTGCAAGACAGTCATGGAGTGTTTAAAAAAAAAATCCAGATTGGGTTGATTCTAATTATGCAGGTGTGTGTATTTTATTGTGATGTTTTGCTCCTCCTTGGTTTGATTATGGTGGTGGAGGAGTCCGAGTGTCAGTCAGGGGAAGTTACCTCCTGGTAGGGTCTCTCGAGGCAGATTGGTTTCAGGTGACAGGCCAGACAAAGAGACATTCACAACACTCCTATCCACCTTATTCCTAACCCCCATGGTGCCTTGCATGAATTATGGGATGCAACTTCTGGCATGGATCAGAACCAGCGTTTGTTTATGTGTGAACAGAACGATCTAATGTAGTTTCTCTGAGCATTGTGGATTAAATTTAAACCTGTAGGAACACCACCTGTCAGAGCTCAAACAGGACGATATAATCATACCTGCTGAGGACGAGGGATGGAGGACGAGCTGAAGAAGTGCTGCAGAGAACATCTACTAGCATATTTAGCTACTTCATTGACTCGGTTCTTCAGATGGTGAAGTGATGAACAACCTGAAAAGATCTGAGGTGTATCAGTATCTACAGTAATAAAGTCGGTGATGTTTTGTAAAAAGAGGTGGGACACAATCTTATTGACCTTAAATCAGACACAGAGTCCAGACAAAGCCTTAAAGTCCTCCATCACTGAGCTTGGGTTCATTACAGAGAAAATCATAAAACTGAAGATGAACAAATATTATAAAGCTGTGTCCTCCATACACTTGAAATCAGACCTGATGTTCTCGTCACTGTTTTCAATCATTCTGAGGATCCGGCGTCTCTTCTCCGGTGGTTTATTGTCGTCCAGACACAAAGTAGGATGCAGGTTTTCCTCCGTCAGCCGTTTGTCAACAAAGTGAAATGAGCACAGACAGAGTTTTGGGTGGTCCCTTCAAGTTCATGTTTTTCAGCCACATTCTTCTTAATTCCTCATCTGTAGGTAGAAGATGAAACTATAGCTCTTTTCACTGGAACACTTTGTTTTGGGTCCGTGTTCAAACTCTGTTGTAGCCACTGATTTAGTTTGGTCTGGTTGTTCCTGCAGTCGTGAACACAACAGGTACCTGAACTCAGCACGGCTATTTTAGTAAACTCTATGGTTGTTAAATAAATGTAAACAAATCAAAAACGGTTTTATCTGCTAAACTGAATGAAAATTATTTTCAAATAATCCGTGCTCCGCAACCATGGTTAATCCGTGCTTACTGCTACTTCCTGTCTGACAGGAAGTTGTCTCTATAATCATTTATACAGTGGAGCCCCAGGAAGAAGGTGGATAGCTGGAAGGAAAAAATTGCGAGCCACGCCTGGGGGAGAGGCTTGTTAGCAAGTGGCTGCTGACCACAGTGTCAGCCATCAGGACCAGCACGAGTTTGCCTTCCTGTGGGCCCACCACCTGCAGGAGGGGCAATCTAAGTAGAAGGTGGTGAGCTCTGGGTGGCAGCTGGTGTGTGATGTAATGTTTTTATTTGTTTGTGTAGTCTCTAAAGGGAATACACAACTTCAGATCGTCCGGGGAGTATGACAATGACTGCAGCACCCCTCTGACTCCTCTCTGTACTCAGCCAGAACAAGTCATCAAGGGTAAAGTTGAGCTCTTCATTCAACTTCTTTGTTTTCCAGACGTTTCACTGAGTAAAATAAAACTTGTTTTTGCAGGAGGTGCCAGTATTATACAGTGCCACATCCTAAATGACAAGAGACACATTCTCACCAAAGACACCAACAACAACGTGGCATTTTGGGATGTCTTAAAGGTAAATTTAATGTTGTAGGTGCAATGTGTAAGGTTTAAAATGATGAATAACTTTTATTTTGGACTTTGTGGAAAATAGTTTTCACTTCGCAGAAGCAGAGTTATTTTTTATGACCAGCAGGAAATGGTTTAGTTATTTGGTTCTCCTTTAACGGGATTGACTGTCGAGTAAAGGAAACTTGATGTAACGAGTTTTATTTGAACATGACAGGTGTTATTGATATACGTGTTTATTTACTTTTAGGCTTGCAAGGGTGAAGACTTGGGAAAAGTAGAGTTTGATGAAGAAATAAAAAAGCGCTTCAAGATGGTCTATGTGCCAAACTGGTTCTCTGTTGATCTGAAAACTGGGGTGAGTGCCATTGGCCTTGATGTGAGTGACGTTATCCTGTTTGTTGCATTTATACTTTTTTTTTTCTTTCTTCCAAATAGATGCTCACTATCACTTTGGATGAGAGTGACTGCTTCGCTGCCTGGGTGTCTGCAAAAGATGCAGGTTTTTCCAGTTCTGATGGGTCTGACCCAAAGTGTAGGTTATCACATTTCATCTACGACGTTCTGAGCACGCCTGATGTTTAATACAATGCAGAGCTGTTGCCATAACAGCCGTGAGCAGTCAGCGGACAAAGAACATCTGAGTGTTTGGTGTCTAGACGTACTGGACATGTTGTGGATTGGGCTCATTTTCTTCAGATCCTGTTAGATTATCTGAGTTTGTTGGCTGGTTGAACATCACTTTTTGTGTTTTGTAAGTCATTTTCCATCGACAGATGAAATAAATCACCCATGTTGCTGTCAGGATGCTGAGTTTCTCAGCAGAACATTGTTACAAGATGAGCAGATGTCAGTGGAATAATGTTATGGTTGATCACTTTGTGGTAATTAGTGCAGCTTTACATCTGTGATGTAATCTGTTCGTTCTTATTTGCAGTAAACCTGGGTGGGTTGTTGCTCCAGGCTCTGCTGGAGTTCTGGCCCAGAACTCGCATCAACCCAATGGATGAGGAGGAGAATGAGGTGAACCACGGTGAGGAGACTGGAACTTCACAGAATATTTCCTCCAGCACTGGTGTGTAGCGCTGGAGGAAAACTGGCGTGAAGCGTGCGTTGGCTCGCTGCTTTTACAGCTTTGTGTTGTGTCCACAGTGAACGGCGAGCAGGAGAACAGGGTCCAGAAAGGAAACGGATACTTCCAGGTTCCGCCTCACACACCTGTTATATTTGGAGAAGCTGGAGGGAGAACTCTTTTTAGGTATAGTCTCATCAGCACACGTTGAAGTTAAAATATTACAGTAGAGTGAGTGATGTGTGTTGCTTCTGCTGCAGGCTACTATGTAGAGATTCAGGTGGAGAGACCGAGTCGATGCTGCTGAATGAGACGGTCCCACAGTGGGTCATCGATATAACTGTAGATGTGAGTACTGTTTCTGGTTTCACTTTCATTCTGTGTAGGGATGCACGATACTGGATTTTTGGCCGATATGTTAAAACTTATTCGGCCGGTAACCAATACCGATATTTTATATATGTTCCTTTGTCAGAACATAGCCCTCTTATTTAGGCTTATTTGCTACAAAAATTGTGTAACAGCTGTAACAGCTGGTGACATATATTCAGTAACAGCCATATGATATACATAGCAATTCAACTTATATTAAATGAAAAGTGTTAAATGTTATTTATTAGCATTAGTCAGCTGTGATGCTGTCTCACTTGTGGAGGCTTGTTCCAGGTTTCTAGCTGCAGTGTGGAATCCTCTGCACTCCTGTGCATGAAGGACAGACTTTTTAAGATCAAAGTTTTTGTCTCATGGTGCCGTAAGACTAATCATGCTAACGGGGCTAACACAACGTCCAAATGTCTGTGGTAAAACTCACCCAACAAGTCGTGCTATCTGCTATTAGCTTCTCAACGACGTTGGAAATGACGGCTTGTAACTCTGGTAACGTTACGTTGGAAAAATGTCTTCGACTGGGGACGATGTAGCGAGGCTCAACGTAGTCCATAATCTTCGGAATCCGTCCTCCTCACCAACAAAAAATAAAACTTCCACACCGCCAACATTTTGAATTTTCCTCTCCGCCGTGAGCTCGGGTAGGCGCACGTGACGTCATCACGTTGTGCTGCCGCTGCAGGTAAAGACAGCGCCTTTTATATTGGCGAGTTATTTTGGTGGAATGGACGATGTCCAATATTGAAATTTAACGCTAAAATTGGCCGATACCATGCCGATAATATTGTGCATCCCTCATTCTGTGTTCAAGTGTTGGTGCTGTGACTGTAAGACTAGCTGGCAACTGTAGTATGTCATATATGGATATATTCATACAATTTTTCACGAGTTC